CAGCGGAAGGTGCAGAGATGATAATAACAGGGTTCATACACTTTTTCACCAATGATTTTCAATGACTTCTCCATGAGCTACCTAATTTTCCATGACCAAAAAATTACTCTATCTCAGCTGTATCACTGAAAATTGTTTATTCAACATGGAACAGGAAAATAAGGTCTGCATATGAAACATGTTGTGCCTATCTAAAACAAATCAAATAGTAGGCTTACTAGCTCCTACAGGCTAAAGCAACTCAAATCTCTCAGCAGCAAAATACCTCGTCAGTTAAATGCCATTTTACATTTCACACGATACAGTATTTATTATCATTATAGTATTACTATTTCGGCGATTAGATAAAATATAAATTATATTTGATGCAACTTTAGTTACATTTCCATTACCTTTCCAAAACTTTGGGAAAAATATTGTTTTTCATAACTTTTCCAGGGCCTGGAATTTGCATTTTGAATTTCCATGACTTTTCCAGGTTTTTAATGACTGTAAGAACCCTGTAATAAGCCAGCAATTATCTTTACAGGAGGTCATGCAGTGTGACATGTGACTATTTCTGCAGATGTGTGTGTGTGTGTGTGTGTGTGTGTGTGTGTGTGTGTGTGTGTGTGTGTGTGTGTGTGTGTGTGTGTGTGTGTGTGTGTGTGTGTGTGTGTGTGACTTACATCAAACTGGATGCCCAACCAGTTCACTGTAATTTCAATACCCCTCGTCACAGGATCCGTCTTTCCAACTCGATCAAACACAATGTTTATTGTGGCCTATGATGGACAGAAGATGAATTGTGAAAAGTGAATCAAGGTACATCTTCAACTGCATTTTTAACGATAAAGATTAAAAAAAAATGCGGATTGTGATTATGTGACTGAGCCTTAGCACTCACATTATTTACTTCCTGTGTGAGAGTGAGGGAAATAAAACTTAGCTAGAATAGAATTGTTAATGTTCTCACCATGAAGATTTTCCAAACACAGTAGATGGAAAAGAAGTATCCGAGGAAATTGAAGTACTTCCCCTTGAAAGTCGTGGAGTACTCAATTCGCTCCTAAAGATAAGGAGAGGTGATCAATCATTCATTGCATGTAAGAGAAGTAACTACAATGAGTCAGTATAGATAGAGGTGAGGTATGTGGCATAGCTCAGAGGTTCAAATCCTACATTTCAGTTTAGCAAAATATATCAGGCTCTTATTTGTGTCCACAAACAACAAACATGTACAAGGTGCACAACAACTGGAGGGAAACACAAACACACAGCCACACCTGGACAAGGTCTACAGCTGGGAAACCTCTACACTGATAACATGGAGAGAGATTGTTATGGAGACGGGTCTTGCTAGTCGATAAACGGCAACACGTATTATACTTTAATTGAGCCTTATGAAGGAGTTATAAAATAATAACAGCTACTTAATATGTATGTCACACAACAATTAAAGTAGGCTCAACTTGTAATACGTTAAGAACTTATGGGTATTAAAAACAAGCTGCTTGACCCCTGAGCTTGCACTATTTTTATTGTTGTTTTTTTATGTCCTGTAATTGCGTTGTTGAGGAACCTGCGACCAAAGTTTATAATTCATTACATAACTACACCGTAGTAGATATGACAATACATCATTTGAGTATTTGAATCTGTGGACAGAACACTGGCAAATCATCACCTGTTAGTTGATAATGGTAAACATGTAAGCAAACAGTAACTTCTCTTATCTTGCTTTTTTTCCCCCAGCTTTTTCACTTTAAACAAATGCCTGCTGCGGCCTTAGAACAAAACTTTCTCCAAGGTACATTTCTTACCTTGGTGGATTGAAGGTCCACAGTCTCCAGAAAGAGTTGCCGACTCAGCTCCTCTAGAGCATCAACCTCCTGCTGGATCAGAGAAAGATCTGGAGAGAGGAAGTCAAGGCTGACATCTACTAAACATTGCAGACAATAAGCACATACAAAAGCTTACAATGTATACTCTATGGTTATACTGAATAGAAGTGTGAAGGATACTTTCGCTGCCTGGTGGTGTGGAGGTTACGCTCTTGATCATGCCCCAGAATCCAGTCTGTTTGTTCTGGTCTTCCCCCCGCTGGTACATCTGCCTCCGCGTCATGGCAATTCTACACACAGAACAAATACCAGTGGCAGAATCATTATTTTAATTAAAAAATAAATAATAATACATCCAAAAAAAATGTACTTACCTTTTCTTCTTGCTTACAATCATGTCCATAGTCTGTAGCAGCCTTCTTTCCAGAGCAAGTATGTCACTGTCTGTTACATTTCTGTGAAAATAACAAAGCAGGAAGCATCAAATAAAAGACAGCATGTGTCTTGAGAACAGGAATATATTGTATACAAAATATTCTGATGCATTAGATGACTTCAATTAACAGGCTGTGAGTTACAGCTGCTAAAGATAAAGTCAGAGAAATCCCACAGTTGAGATTACCTGAGGAAATAGGACATGTATGTGTACGGACAGTTGACTGCACCAAAGCCAGACAACAGAGCCATGAGGGTGACTCCGATCACACCAACACGGCTGATCAGCTGCTCAATGGACAGGATGCCTGAACAGAATAAACACAACAGAGTGAAAACAGAGAAACCATGGGTCACTTGCTTTTCAACACTCTCTACATAGGCCTATCAAAATATGAAAAAGGGCATAAATGAGGCATAAAGGTGCCTAGAGTAGAAGGACACACACTCACCATGTTTGGGACTAAGGATTGGGAATGGGTCTCCCAATTTCCAGAAGAAATACATGAAGGTGAACCAGACCATACAAGCGAACAGAAGCTTCTGTCTCTGCACTATAATAGAAATAAAGAAAATAGCTTTCTGTGACATAATGTGCGAAAAAACCAAATCTGGCAAACAAAGTTGTTCATTTTATTGTTAGTTACAGTTTTTTTGTCTCAATACACAGCTAATCAGCTTTACTTACACAGACGTATGTTGCTGACAACAAAGTAACCGATGTAGAAAGGCACCACAAAGATAAGGACCAGCAGTATCACATACAGGTTGAGCTTCCAGTGAAAATACCTAGAGCTGTGGGAAACACATCAAGGTTATATATTCTACATTTTCCACAACAAAAAACATTCAAAATAAACACATTTACAGTACACAGAAAATGTACTTACGTGCTACTCATGGCACCCAGGATCTCAAAGATGATAAGCTCAAACATGGTACATGAAAAGGCAAAAGTGATGGAGAAAACCACCTGGACAACATACTGTCGTATCTGCAAACAAACACAAAAACTGTCAGGACTTCTAGGCCTACACCTTTATCGGTGATGAGACAATGAAAATGCATTTGAGTGTTTCTCTCAGTGGAATACTTATTATGCCAACACACATCCAGGATTACTACTTTACCTCATAATCTTTAAACAGCTGCCGCATAAAGAATAACCAGCCAAATCCAAAGAACAGCACCTGTGTGGGCATCAATGGGAATTAGTTGGAGGAAAGAGGGAGGTGGAAGATTATGTTATGTTATTAAGTTTATGAGTTACCATCAGACTTACAGGGTTTATGATAAAACATTTTTCCACAAGGACAAGTTGAAATGTCACAGCAGGAAAAGCTCAGGGTTAAATAATAATATAGCTGAATTCAGTCATGTATTGCGCATACTGGCTCACTTTCATGACTTATTGGAACACTTGAATCAGAAGCAGATTTTTTTATAAATGATTAATAGATTTTTGAAGAAAAATAATAACATAAAGAATAACAACTCAAATCCAATAAATATATTTTCTTATATGGCCAGTATAGTAATATCGGTATGGAATTTGAGTCACTGGTTCACATGAAATGGAAGCTAATACAAATATATAACTATCCTTTTAAATGTATTTTTCTAATAAGAGCTAGATAGCACGGAGAAAGTGAAATTAACAGTAGTTTTGTGACGTGTATTGATGGTCATTATGTGAAACCCTTTAGGTAGATAAACCTAAGACTAACTTCACCGCGTTTTTTTATTTAGCTGAAAGATATTCAAACTTCGACAGGGCTCCACAAGAACAAGAAGCCTGCAGTTCAAGATAGTCACAGAGCTTAGAAAAACATCTAATACAACGTTAGCTTAAAATATGCGAAGGTATATTCTTGTTCAGCAAAATAAATACAATAAACAATGTGTTGACTTTACAGACTCTTGATTACCTGTGAGGTGAACATGATGACTGAGTCCACCAGAAACGACATGATGATGTCTGTAAAACAGCCTTTAATCCGCAATAAAAACGACCGTATACCTAAAGAAGGGTTGAGGACAGATTCAATTCATACTGAAGTGAGACACCAATCGGTCCTTAGATGTTTGAAATGTTGGTAATGTTGACAATGAGCTCATTTTAGCAGCATTGTTGTTCAGCTGTCAAGTTGCAACGGTAGCCCATGTAAGTACGTCATCTAAATGAGTCCGACAAATCCACTTCCGTCGAAAAACTGTGACGCTTCAAACTTTAAAAAAGAAAACTAAAATGCTCGGTTGAATTTTTGTTGTATATATTTTATGATGACATACTTAAACGATTTCTGAATTTATTTAGATTTGAGTTAATCATAAACTACGATTTTTGTGTTTGTAATTTCCATACATACCTGCAGAAGGCGACAAAACAGCAAACTGCTACATTTCACCACCACTTTGTCTACTACTACTACATAATATTAATAATTATCTGCAGGTCTGCATGTCTTTAAGTCTGTAGGACTGCATGTCTTTTTGTCTACAGGTATAAAGGTCTACAGATGTTCGGGTTAACAGGCTTTATATTCATTTGTGGCTTCACCCGGGCTCAGGTGGGGGATTGCAGGGACAAATGTCTGAGCTGAGGTGTGATGAAACCTGCAGCACCTGAACGCAGCACAGGGAATCTGGCTCTGCAGACTCTCATGAGGTATGAGAAAGCAGCACCTGAACGCAGCACAGTTAATTTGGCTCTGCAGACTCTCAAAAAGCAGCACCTGAACGCAGCACGGTGAATCTGGCTCTGCAGACTCTCAGAAGAACATGATCATCAGACTCAGTAGGCCTATGTGAGAAATCGCGTTCATGTTTTTATCTGAAGACATAATTGGGAAAGGCATTCATAACTTCTGTCTACTATAGGTAGCTACTGAAAAAAATCACTACTACATCTGTATCTGCACAGAAACACAGAAATGTGCACAAACTATTTATTATATTAATACAATAATACATTGTATACTTGTGAATGAACAATACTTTTATTTTAAAAGACAAACTGTAAACAATTCTGAAGTGGTGTCTGTTGGTTATCCTGAATGTGATGCTGCTTCTCTTCTGTAACTGACACACTGACTGACGTTTTATACCAGTCACTGTGTGTTTCTCCTCTGCTCTGAGACTCCCTCTCCCCCCTCGCTTCGTGCTAAACTAAAGTTTGGAGCTGCCGCCGGCTGGTCTTCATTGTGCTGCTGGTGCACAGAATAGAAAACACACCGAGGAGTAAAAATAGATTCTTTCTCGGTCTGGAGTGATGTTTGAAAAGACTGCTGGGTCATAAGGACGGGCGAGATGTTGCTGAGGGTTTCGACTGTTGGCTTTTACCTTCTGCATTAGGACAAGTAGCCTGAAGGTGAGTATATCTGTCTCCTGTATAATAGAAATGATATGCAAAATATGCTGTTTACGTACTTTGCATGATTGTATTAAATACAAATGTAGAATTTCTAAATAAATGCTGTAGGCTCTGGGCAACCTTTATGTGTAAATGTACTGGTTAATGAAATCGTTGCGTTTTTTACTTAGATGCCAGTTTGTAATGTGGCAGAAAAAAATTCGTTCCCCTTTGAAACGTTTGAAAACGTTCACACAGTATTGCTAACTTTTTTTTCTGTAAAGAAAAATCCTTCTATTACACACGAGAATTTTTTTTTATTGCAACAAATTGATTAGTTTTTTAGACGATTCAATGTGCTTGACAGCATCTTGAACACATGAGCTGAATTGGCTCGTCAGAGTTGGGAAAAACATGTTTTTTTGCAAAAGTCAGTCTGTATTACTGTTGGATCACCAGATGTTTAAATTGAAGGAGAGGTTGACTTCATATCGGGCTGGTTTTATTTCTCCACATCTCAGTTCCACTCTTCTTCCTCCCAATAAATGAACGATGAAGAAGATGATGATCCAGGCCTCCTGTAGGAAGGGTCTGCAGGTGTGTTTGTACTTACTGCTGGTGGGAAGATTACAGGGTGAGTGCTAAATGTTAATGCTATAAAACATGGAAATCTCAAATCAAGAAGTCACACCGAGTTATAATGTTTTAAATGTTATATAACATGATGTTCCAGGCCGGGTAACAGCACCTGAGCGTCTGGAAGCTCCAGTGGAGAAGCCCTTCACTCTCACTTGCAGCGTTGTGAGGGACCGAGGAGAGACTCTAAGGCAGGTGCGTTGGCTGGATGGCCAGAACCAGACCCTTCTGAGCTACCAGCCCGGTGACAAAGACAGTGTGAGTGGACAGCAGTATGTGGAGCTGGCCATCTCTCCGAAAGACACCTCGGCTATCATCATCCGAAGGGTGGGCTTCCGTGACGAAGGCTGCTACACCTGCATCTTCGACATGCATCCTTCTGGTTCAAAACAGGGCCAGACGTGCCTCACTGTGACCGGTGAGTAATACGATTGCTTCATTTTATGAACTAGAATGTGGGTTCCTGCATATAAGAGCTGGAATATGTAGTAGTTTAACATATCTCTAACCCAGTGGTTCTCAAACCTTTTCTGTCAGGCCCCCCCTTTGGAGAAAAAAAAGTTGGGCCCCCCCAACACAAATAGTCAGGCTCAGTGGCGGCATTTATTTTGGGGGTGCTGTGGGGTAGCTTGACGTTTCATAGAGGGTGCTCAAACATTTAGGGTTTCCCATTAATGTACCGGTCGCTACAGTGGAATTTTCTACTGCAACAATCCCCACGCATATACACAACGTACCAGCGACTGTTACAATGAAGGCTCGATAATCAGCTCACGGCATATAGGTGTAAGCAGGGGTAAAGTGCTATTTTTATAGGTGGTGTGTGACCATAGAGTGTGGACCTTACATAGGGGGGTCCGGGGGCAACCTCCCCCGGAGCATCAACCTCCTGCTGG